TACCGTCTGCGCTCAGAATCGTTTTTCTTATACAATGATATTATATCGTTGAATTCAAATTTAATATCATCCATTATACAGTGACCCACTTGTAACCTACTGTACAGCAGAGCGACACCCACTTGCCCACCTTTTTTTTTTTATTTTTTCATTTTTTTTTAATTTTTTTAATTTATTTTTTTTGTGTCTGTGTACACGATAAGTAGTCGAAATAATGCTTCGATTTTCGACTTCAGTATCTTGTTCAAAATTTAAATTTCCCAGTAGTTTTCAAGAGCGCCAAGAAAAACAAAAGAAAAATTCAGGAAAAACGGGAATTTTTACGCAAAATCGATTTTTCAGAAAATTGAATTTGGTTTTTGGTGTAACTTTAAAACAAATGACCGTAGGTACATGCAATTTTCACTGGTTGTTTATATTTGCATCTTCTATACACGATAACATTTTCAAAATATTTTGATTTATTTTGAACAGTTTAGGGACATTTTCATTTTTAGTTTTTTTTTAGTTTTTTTTCTAGAAATATCAATAAAATTTTATTTGTTGGTTGCGAAAGCTTGAAAATTTAATAGAAAGCTCCTAATATATTGTTTCAAAGGCAGATGAAAAATATTAAAAATCCTTAGTCACAATTTTTTTTTATAAGCATTTAAAGTTCAAAAATTGACAAAATATGGAAAAATCAAGAAAATTAGCAAATTATTTTGAGTTAAGAATTCGTAAAAATTTTTCTTTTTAAATCTAAGATTTGAAAATCTAATACAAGATTACTCATAAGATTGTCTACCTTTATCAATAAAAAAATCTCTACCGGAAAGTCAAATTAAATTTTTATGAGCGTTTTAAATTCAAATTTTTACAACATTGGATATTCACTCGATTTCTCATGTGGCAATTTCCTTTTTTTGTTGTAATTAAAAAACGAATTACTGTAGATACATGGAAATTTCACTGAATGTTTAAATTAGCATTTCCTATACACCATAAAATTTTGAAAATATTTTGACTCTTTTTGAGCTGTTTACGGACATTTTCAGTTTTCAATTTTTTTAGTTTTTTTTTTCTATAAATATCAATTAAGTTTTATCTGTTGGGCCAAAAAGTGTAAAAATTTACTACAAGGCTCCTGATATATTGTTACAATATCAGTTGAAAAATATTAAAAATACATAGGCACAATTTTTTTTTATAAGCATTTTAACATCGAATTTTGACAGAATTTTTCAAAATCTCGAAAATTATTAATCATCGTAATTAATAAATTATAAAATGTTCAGTTTTTATAGCTAAGGATTGAAAATTTAAAACAAGATTCCACGTAAGTAGTTAATTCTCTTACCGAAAAATCTAAAAAATATACAATCACAGTTTATTTTTATAGTCATTTTATGTTCAAATTTGGACGAAATTACATATTAAAAAACCTAGTTATTTTGTTGTGATTATATAATATTATTCGTGGGTACCTACTTGAAACTTCTAAAGTGTACTAAACACACATGGTTTTTTTGTATATCTATGATTGTATCACGGTTTTTGTTGATGTATAACGCGTTACCAGTACCTAATGGATATTGTGATATGATTAATTTCGAATTTATTATAGGTACCTACCTATTATAGGTCAATTTTTTGTTTAATACCATAGATATGTTTATAATTTGTCTTAACCTAGACTGACATACCGTCTTCGCTCAGAATCGTTTTTCTTATACAATGATATTGTATCATTGAATTCAAATTTAATAGCATCAATTATACAGTGACCCACTTGTAACCTACTGTACAGCAGAGCGACATCCACTTACCCACCTTTTTTATTTTTGTGTCTGTGTACACGATAAGTAGTCGAAATAATGCTTTGATTTTAAACTTCAGTATCTTTTTCGACTCGAAAGTGAATAGCGTTGGTGCATTGAGGAGGTCAAAATTTAATTTTCCCAATAGTTTTCACAAGCACCGGGAAAACAACATAAAAATTAAGGAAAAACGGGAATTTTTAAGGAAAATCTGTTTTCGAGAAATTCGATTTTGGTTTTTCATGCAACTCTTAAACAAATGACTGTAGGTACATGAAATTTTGACTGAATGTTTATATTAGCATTTTCTATACACCATAACATTTTCCAAATATTTTGACTTATTTTGAGCTCTTCACGGACATTTTCATTTTCCATTTTTTTTTAGTATTTTTTCTAAAAATATCAATACAATTTTATTTGTCAGTTGAAAAAGCTTAAAAATTTAATAGAAGGCTCCTAGTATATTGTATCAAAGGCAGATGTAAAACATTAAAAATCCTTAGTCACAGTTTTTATTTATAAGCATTTAAAGATAAAAAATTGATAAAATATGGAAAAATCACGAAAATTAGTAAATTATTTTGAGTTAAGAATTCGTTAAAATTTTTCTTTTTAAATCTAAGATTTGATAATGTAATACAAGATTACTCATAAGTTTGTCTACCTTTATCAATAAACAAATCTCTACCGGACAGTCAAATTAAATTTTTATGAGTGTTTGAAATTCAAATTTTTACAAGATTGGATATTCACTCGATTTCTCATGTAGCGATTTCCTTATTTTGTTGTAATTCATAAACTAAAAACTATAGATACATGAAAATTTTACTGAATGTTTATATTAGAATTTCCTATACAAAATACAATTTTGAAAATATTTTGACTCTTTTTGAGCTGTTTACGGATATTTTCATTTTTCAATTTGTTTAGTTTTTTTTTCTATGAATATCAATAAAGTTTTATCTGTTGGGCCAAAAAGTGTAAAAATTTTATACAAGGCTCCTGATATATTTTTACAATATCAGTTGAAAAATATTAAAAATACATGGGCACAATTTTTTTTATAATCATTTAAAGATCAAATTTTGACAGAATTTTTCAAAATCTCGAAAATTATCAATCATCGTAATTAATAAATTATAAAATGTTCAGTTTTTATAGCTAAGGATTGAAAATTTAAAACAAGATTCCACGTAAGTCGTTAATTCTGTTACCAAAAAATCTAAAAAATACAGAATCACAGTTTATTTTTATGGTCATTTTAAGTTCAAATTTGGACGAAATTACATGTTAAAAAACCTAGCATACCTACCTATTTTAGTTATTTTGTTGTGAGTGTATAATACTATTCGTGGGTACTTGAAACTTCTAAAGTACACTATATTATATATCTATGATAGTATCAGAGTTTGTTATTGATGTATAACGTGTTATAAGTACCTAATTGATATTGTGATATTATTAATTTGTAATTTGTTATAGGTCAATATTTTTTTTAATACCATAGATATATATAATATGTCTTAAACCTTGACTGACATACTGTCTTCGCTCAGAATCGTTTTTCTTATACAATGATATTGTATCATTGAATTCAAATTTAATACCATCCATTATATAGTGACCCACTTGTAACCTACTGTACAGCAGAGTGACATCCACTTACCCACCTTTTTATCTTTTAAAAGTAATAGTCTTTATCCACTAATAGTTTTATAAAAATCATGTAAGATTTTAAATTGGCAAGTTTTACCAGACTTTCAACATGGTCTATATATATATACAAAAAAAAAATAGTTAATAACCCGATACATAGGTATGTTGATAAAAAATAACAATAATTCTATGCAGGTACCTAACCTAATTTAAGTTTGTTGTTGTCTATTTCGTACAGTTTGTTTTCTTAAATAGCTTGTTTGAGAAAAATCAAAACAAAATTGTTTGAGTCATTAAAATATTTAAATGGTTACAACTATTTAGCTTACCTGAAATTATAAACTCAGACGAATCATTATGGTTAAAGCATTATCTAAAACAAAACCATGAATGAACGATACAGATTTTCTCAAAAGTATAGTTTCTGTTATAAATATCTCAACCAAAATCAATTATTTGAATTATTATTAAACATTATTAGATGAATAGGTGCACAGGTGACAGGCACACAGTTTTAGGTGATGTTTAAGTACCTACCTATCTTGCAGACCCTATAACTCTAAGGTAGTAGTAGTTTTTGCCTTTTGGTTGTTCAAAGTTTTATTTCTCCGAAATGAACCAGTTCAGAGTATGAATAATAAAGAGATTCCACAACTAGGATTTCTCAAACATTTATTTTGTCAAATACGAATTATGTCTTTTCTTAAAATGATTAAAACCACAAGATATATTAAAAATATAAAAAAAAAAAAATCATAATAATATTATAATAAAATATCAATGATATGCATAAAAAAATTTTCAAATAATTATAGCTTATAAAAAAAAAAACTAAGCAATAACACAATTTTTTGGTATGTTATAAGAACAAAACTATAAGGTATCTATATAGGTATATTATATTTATAATAACATATATTAATATGTATATTAAAATATCCCTAGGTAATTGTAAACAATAGTAAAAATAATATTAATATTAATAAAGTTAAATAAAATTTGTAATATTTAACAAACTAATAGAAGATGTTAATATAGTATTATAGTAATATTTTAATGTACCTACCTAATACAATACATTTAACAAAACAAATAACAATCGTATAATTTAGTTGTAGGTAGGTGTATAGGTTCCTTTTATTGTAGAGAAATAAAAAATACAGTATAACACACTTACACACTAAATTATAAACACATTAAACGTTTATAGCTTTAGACAATATTTCTTTTGGGTATAACTGAATAAGGTAGAGGTACCTATAGCCACACACGGCACACCCATTGATACTTATCACTAGGTAGGTATGCGTTTTGGAATTTCTGGTTAAAACGGGCACGGCATCATGTTTGGCTAGGGGTAATGGAATCGACTACACCCACCAAAACACTTAGTGTAGCATCTACAGAAAATACTAATGTGATTTGTTTTTAATGCATTTCAACCAGACCAACAAAAACGCATACGTAGTTTTATAGGAATGTAAAATAAAATACATCATTAAAAAATATTATTTATGTATAAAATTAAGCGCAATTAATGTATCAATAATTGATAACAAAATTATAGAGTTTATTAATTGTTGGAAAAATGGATGTATTTATTTCGAATCGAGTTTTTTCAAATTTGTTTTTCAAAACATTTATGTCTAATTTAATTAATTCAGGAAAATCTATAAAAAAATGTAAAATACTTTTGTTAATGTCTTCGAAATTACTTGTGGCATTGTTCACAATTAACTCTGAATCCGTTGTTTGAACATCACATTCCTCGTTAGCGTATTTAATGCGCATATAGTCTTGGAGACGACTAAAATCCGACGTAGAATAATGATCGATGAAAAACCAATTATCAAAAAATTTTATAGAATTGATATTTTGTGTTACAAAGCTCATCAGAATTTCGAGTGGTTTTCGAAACCCGTATATTGTTCCAGATTTTAACCTTACAATCAGTAGCGTTTGAAGATCGCAGACATTATAGGTGTCGATGTTTATGGTCTGTTTTGGAAAAGTCTGAACTGTTTTATTAGATTTTTGCACATGGTCCGACGACGATTCTTTCAATTTCTTATATTTTTGCCAAATTATTGAATATTTTGTTTTTACGTGATTTAGTTTTTTGTCCGTGTCACTCAATAACGATAGTGTATTCTTCAATGAGCGATCAGTTGTATCTAATTTGTTTTTTAAAAATTCGATACTTACTGATTCTGATGTTTTTTGGTGTACCGTGAGTGCCGACGTAGATGGATTTTGATATTCATTTGCATCAGACTCTTGATTTGATAATTCATCCGACGGTACACATGTTATATTATTTAAAATAACTGAGGGTTCTTCGGTTAATCCGGTCTTGACTGGAAGTATTTCGACTTGGTCAATTTCCAAAATATTTCGATTAGCGCTTTCTCCAAAAACCATACAAAATACTTTAATATACAATTCATCGCTGATCAGGGCTACCATTTTCAGAAACAGTATCGGGTGATAGTATGTACCATTCCAAATCGTTTGGCACTTGTTGAGTTTTACTATCGGAGATTTCCCTAAACGTTCAGCCATATAGTTCGAAATGCTTTTGAATGATGAATGTTTTTCAAAATCGATTATTTTGTTTTTAAAATTACTTTTACAAAAGTTTGTGACGTTAATCCACATATTTTCATTTATAACTAAATCAAGTCCGGAATGTCTTACATGCCATAGTTCGAATTGAGCGTTGTGTTCTAACGTAACGGAAGATTGTTCACAACGTCTTAATAATCGACTAAATTGTAACTTATGAGAGCAGGAAGTGTTAAAATACCTGATGATAAATGCAACGGAGTTAATGTAAAGTTCCTCGGAAGTCACTATACTTGCATATAAAAACACAATTGGATGGTAATATGTACCGATTGCGTGTGGGTATGGCCCGTTATAAAATGTTTGTTTAATTTTTTCCCCGTAAGTTTCAGCGAATACATCAGCGAATAATAGAATCTTCTGTCCATGTTTTTCAGTGTTGAATGCCACCATATTTGCGGTATTAAAAAATCCAGTGCACTCGTGTATCGTTTGTTCAACTCCGAAAACAGTACAACTCACGAAATTTGAACAGACATTCTGAGTCGAAAACATGTCGGACATATTATAACACAAAATAATGTTAATAAATTGTATATAATTTAATATAAATTGTTGTTATCATATTTATAAAGGCCGATCACGACGGGTTACGATAAATCGGTTGCAGAAGCCGGGCACATACGGTAGGCGTATAGATCGAACGTGTTACTGCCGAATATTTAGTTGATCGCACAGATATCCTGCAAATATAGTATGTTTCAGGTAAAGTGGGGTAAAAGTATTAAGGGTTGTTAACGTGTCATAAGTGGTCCGTAAACTACTAACCGTCACCGTGTCTTACTTGTGACCATCAAAATATTACTGGTTTTCAAGGTGGTGATTTCATTTAAGAGTGGTTTCAAACTAAATAATTAAAACTTCATTTCGTATTTGCTAACGGTTGTTTACTCGTGTAAAAGGGACACAAACCGAATTCTGGCAGTAACTCCAACACACATAGCGTACGCTAGGCTGTGTTGTACCCACGTACACATAGACAAAACGCGTTTAGCAGTCTGAGTATACTGCTCATTTTGGTCAGACCGAAAAATTGAATATATTTTAAGGGCAGTTTTCCATAAACATAACCACAAAGACATTTTAAATACCTTGACTTTTAAAAATTAAATTTTTTAAAAAAAACCGCAGCGTCTTGCCCTTAGAAATATTATCACAATTCAATTTCATAATAGGTATTTTTACTCTAGAACCAAAATTAAGCGAGTTATACTCAGACTGCCTAAACGCGTTTTGTCTATGTCGTACGTGTGTAAGACGGAGACAACACATGCGGGTGTAGCGTCCTCTTAAACACCATCAATATTTCCACTCAAAATTAAAAAAAATCGCCTGGGCATATAGAGGTACGAGTTAAAAAGTTAAAGTTAAGTTCATTTAAAATTTTATATTTAATTTTCACTAACTTAGCTTTTAACTTAACTACTTAACTGATTTTTATTGATGTTAACTTAATTAATAACGTGTTAATTTTAATTAAATCCAAGGTTCGTTATTTTTAAATAATTAAATTATATAAATACAATACACTTATTAATTATTATTGACAAAGGTGGGCATTAACTTTTTAAAAAGTTAATTTTTATTTAACGTTTTAACTATTTAGTTAATTTTCTAGTAAATTTATGAACTCAACTACATAGTTTAATTAGCTTTTTCCTCAGTTTATTTAAAAACGAAAAATGTCAAAAAGGTTTAACTTACCTTTTTGAAATTTTTCGTTTTTATGGTTTTATACATGAATATTAATAATACTAAAATAAAAATAAAAATAATCCAATACTTTAGCAAAAAAAACATTTATTTATTATTTTTTTTTTTTGATAAAATAATTTTGTAAATCTTTATAGGTTATAATAGATATTATATTATGTAGATAGGTACATGTTATTAGATATGCATAATATTATATGACCTTAAATTTCTATTTTACATAAAAAAATTAATATTTGTTAAATTATTTATTGTGATGTGTAGGTATTTAAATATTTAATAATCATGTAAAGTAAAATAGGTATAGACATTGTGCATTACGATGAAAGTTCAATAAAAATGTTTATTATTATAATTAAGGAAATTAGAAAGAACGCAGTCACTCTTTATGTGATCCACATACTAATTAAAACAAGTATATTAACTTTTATTAAACTGAGTTCAGTTAGTATTTTTTCCATATTAATACTTTTTAATTATCAGGTTAAATGTATCATATTATGATATTTGTTAACTGTTAACTGTTAACTTATCGATCTTGTGTCCTCTTAACTTAACAGAGCTTTAGTTCATTATTTTCATTAACTTGCCCACCTTTGATTATTTATGGGTTACCTATATTGTATAGGTAACCATTTACTTTTAGATTCTGAGTGGAGCGATGAATGTATTGATTTTACAATGATGTGTTTTTTATTTGTGTCAGTCATCACTTTTTAGGACAGTAAAAGTGCTTAGATTTTCATTAACAGTATCTTTTCTGATAGGAAATTATATGTGTTTTGTATTTAATAACTCTTTTAACTTTTAGGTATCATATTAATTATTATGATGTATTATATTTTAAAATACATGCAAAGTTTGTTCTGGTTGTATTATTTTATAATTATCTTGTATAGTTTTAGATTTTGCATGCATTGTGAATCGAATTATAGCACATGAATAACAATTATCAATTATGTAAATGTAAAGTAAAATCTTTGACTTCTAGTAATTAATAATAATAATAGCCCTGAAAGGAAAATTATTGAATTATTTAAAATGAACCAAACACCTCATAAACAACCATGAGTTAACTTCATGGTTAGCTAAGCAATTTACGATTGTTTTAGTTCTTTTTCCGTAATTGTCAATAAAATTATATTTGTTGGGTCAAAAAGCTTGAAAAAAAGTTAAGTCGTAGTTAAATCTTATATATATATGTTACGGTCAATGACGAAAATGATGATATTTACGTTAAAGCCCGGCCAATGACGAAAATGATCTTGTACAATACAAATTTACGTAAGTGACCGGTCATTTACGTAAATGGCGACACATAATGGTTAATGTTGTAAACACGGGTATTATTTTATTATTCACGTCAATTCCCAACTCCTGCTGGACGTTGTTGTAAATTATACATTTAAACATTTATAACATCCAGGTCACTGTCAGTTATCTATCCAGACACGTTTCTACGTTAGTATGTAATGTTATATAACAGATTTTTTATCGTTATCTAACAAATTATCAAAGGTAGGTAATTTATTTTATTGGATTTTTTCCCCATAACGTATATTTTAACTATTTCAGTATCGTTTCAGACATCGCATTCGTTTGACATCGCTTGATTCGCAGTTCACCAGTTCGACATTTCGCTGTTCCCCAGTTCACGTGTTATTGCATTTTAAAATATTTATATAAATAATTATTCTTTATTTACGTAAAATTTTAAATATTAAAATATGGATGTAGATACTATGCGTAGTAAATTCAACGATTTATTTAATAAGTTGATTAGTCAAAAACGGACTGACAATAATTCTTATTTTAGTTTATCGGAGTATAGTGAGCAACTTTCCAAAGTTAAAGAGTCGAAAAAAATATTAAGTACTAAGGGATTGAAAAAATCGGTAAAAGATTACAGGATGGTTCGTAAGTATGAAATATTAATGGTTAATGAAAAATAACGCTTGATAAAACCAGTACCAGAAAATAATAATACTATGCTTTATTATGTATCAAATGAAGAGCTTTTTGATATTCTTCATACTACTCATTCGTCTATTGGACATGGTGGGAGAAATCGAATGGTTGCGGAAATAAAAAATAAGTATTGTAATGTAACTAAGGAATCAATTATGCTATATTTACAACTTTGTTCACATTGTCAAAAAAAATCTACTAATAGAAAAAGAGGACTGGTTTCCAAACCGATATTACACAATGCTTTTAACTCAAGAGCACAAGTAGATTTAATAGATATGCAGTCCCAACATTTTAACGATTTTCGGTTTATTTTTTGTTATCAAGACCATTTAACCAAATTCGTAATTTTAAGGCCTTTAAAAAGTAAACGTGCAGAGGAGATTGCATATAATTTACTTGACATTTATACGACCTTTGGCGCACCAGCTATTTTGCAGTCAGATAATGGCCGTGAATTCGTAAATTCGACTATAACTGAACTGCACAATATGTGGGAAGATATGGAGTATCGACTGTCAACAAAAAATGTAAACAAATCGCCTCAATTTCTTATCTATGTTGGACCGCAAAACTAATACGTAATGAATTTGAGGCGTCCTATCCATGTATTTATTATCTATGATTATTGTGCTAAAAAGTATTAGGGCCCTATAATTGTTCCAGGCTCAACTATGGTTTTTTTATGGCAGTTATAAAAATACTTTTTTACTTCTTTTAAGGTATTGGAAGATCTCCTTATGAGGCCATGTTTGGCTGTACTGCCAGAACAGGACTATTATCGATTGGTCTACCAAATGATGAAATAAATTCATTAAGAACAGAAGAAGATGTAGAAGAATTGTTAAAGCAAATGCAAGAAACTGGATTACACGATTCAAAACAAAATATTGAACAAGTTATTTCACCGATTTCAGAACAGCAAGAAAATATGATGGATACAGGTTAATTAATATAATATTTAAAATTTAAAATTTTATTAAAATAACATACCTATAATTTAAACATATTAGATACAAACCTAAGAAAATGTGAAAGATGTTTTATTTTCCTGGAAGCAGACAATGAAAGTACAAATTGCATGAATTGCCAACGTCATGAGCAAATACAGAATGAACGACATAAATCAAGTGAATGCTTAAAGAAACAAGCCAAAAAAATGATGACTATTTCAAATAAGAAATTTACTCCTCTAGAAGTTGGTACCACAGTTAAAGTTTCAATACCCGATGTTGATCGAGCACGTGGATCGCCACGAAACCTATTAGCAGTTATTACCCAGGTTGAAGATGATTTATATAAATTAGGTACTTATAAAATTATAATTAAATTATTTAGATATATTCATTTGAATTTATAAATGCTTATATTTAATTAGGTACAGAGAACGGCATTATTAAACATTTGTATACTCGATCGCAGATCGATCCCTGCAAAGAATGTTTCGTTGATTTGGTATCTGTAAATACCGAAAAAGAAATTACATTGAGAGAAGCTGCAGGATTTAGTAGTGTCACTGGATCGCAAGGTTACAAAAGGTGTAATTGCAAACTAAAGTGCAGAACAAACAAATGCATTTGTCGATTAGAGGGGATTTTATTATGTAATTCAAAATGTCACAACAGCATGCCTTGTGAAAATAAATAATTAATAATAAATATAATGTATAATTAATAATAAAAAAAAATTATAATATAAATATTAATAACTGT